TGATGCCATAAATGTAGCAGGTGGCATATGTAACGTGCCAATCACAAAATAATTGAGAACATCAGTACTTTTTGCATGGAACCAGTACCGTGCATTTCTGTAAACTCTGAAAAGGCAGGAACAGGAGGATGAGAAACAGAAAAAGAAATGTTGCATTGAGGAGGAGGTCAAAATGCTTACAAAAAAGGAAAAGAAGCTAGTAGCCACTGTTAAGGAATTAACTGCTACAGAAGACCCACATGCAGAACAGTCTGAGACAGTTGATGACTAGATGTGCATCATCAAGTGAAACAGCCTTAGCAAGACTGCCAAGACCAAGCAGCAGGAGATAGTGGATATTAATATGAAAAAGCAGAAACATCAACAAAGCATTGCATAATAAATGGTTCTCAGTTTTTTCTATCTTGATAAAAGTTTGCAACTCATGTCATACTGAAAGTGATTACCTGAGCAAGTTTGAGAAACTGATTGAAAATTGTCTAGAAAAAAATTATTATTAGAGCCATGTTCTTCATGTCTGCTCTGGTGATGTCGATGAATTATAGGTACTTCAAGTCTTCATCTTCTCCTGAACATGTGTTAATAAGGTTTCTAACAAAGAATGTGGTCCTTGAAAACCCTTGAATTTTCGGTCATGTGAACCAGCATGAGTTTTGGCCAGTTACGTGCCTTGTACTTGGTATATTTAATTGCTGCAATATAAACTATTGCTGTATTACTTTCATTGCTGCATTAGTAGTTCTCCATTACTAACCGTTAAATAATACAGAGATCATTCCTACTGTATTTTTTTCTTCTGCCTTTTTTTTAAGACCTTCAGATGACATTTTGGCAGCTATTTACACTTTCTCGCAGAGGGCAAAGCACGTATCGAGAAGCCGTGCTCTTATTACTTGCAATAGGGATGTTTTTTCTTTGTTTTTGTGTTAGTTACTATGAGATTCCGCTCAAATCAAGCCTGCGCTTTATAGAGTACAGCTTCCAGAATATTAATATTATTCCAGCCTTCACCCACGTGCAATATTGCCACCTGGCGAACATAGGGTTGGCAGTGGTGAGGCATGCATGGAGCACATTCCTATGCAAGTTTCGTCTAATATGACCACTTCAGGAGGGCACATGTTCAGTTTAACTCTTTATTGCTGGATGTCGTGAATTCACGACATACCAAAAAACTTTGAGCAAGTAAGTCCCGAAGTTCGTTTCACCTTCAATGCTGACTGTCAAGTACTCACAGCGCATTTAGCTTTCAGCATGGAAAATTTAGCGGTGTCTCGTCTAAGGTATTTTAAGCTAGAACCAACTATTTTGGAGCTAATGGCAAAAAGCGCGAAGCACGTGCTACAGCTCTCACTTCCTTGTTTTTTTCTCGCCTTAGTGACGTAAGTTTTATCTATAATTATTTTGTTTGTTTGGTGTGTATGCACTCAAAAGGTGGCACACTACATGATACGTAGTTCTGAAGTGCATTTTTTGCTGCTGCCCCGTCGTTGTGGTCTAGTGGCTAAGGTACTCGGCTGCTGACCCGCAGGTCGCGGGATCGAATCCCGGCTGCGGCGGCTGCATTTCTGATGGAGGCGGAAATGTTGTAGGCCCGTGTGCTTAGATTTGGGTGCAGGTTAAAGAACCCCAGGTGGTCTAAATTTCCGGAGCCCTCCACTACGGCATCTCTCATAATCATATGGTGGTTTTGGGACGTTAAACCCCAGATATCAATCAAATCGATCAATCATCAATCATTTTTTGCTGCAAGGTCCTCGCTTCTGTGGCATATGGAGAATTCACGACATATACAAAAGTATGCATTAAAGTTGCATTTTAGATAATTTAAGCTGTGGCATCATTTAAAGGTTGAAAACATTGAAAATGAAATGAAAGGTTGAAAAGGTTGAAAATGAAAACGATTTATATTTTGGTCGGCAGTTTCGTAATTCAGGCATTAAAGGGTTAAGTTTTGTACGTGGCCTTGTTTAAAAAAATAAAATAAAATAAAAATGACCCAAGACATGCACATGACTAAAATGTGTAATCTGTAGTGTAGTGTCCATTGTTAGTGTTATTGGAGTGAACCGAATAGTGGACATGGAATTGAAATGAAAAAGGCATAGTAAAAGAAATTAATCAGTGTACCCCAAGATATTCATTGCCTGTGAACAATGGGGGCCATCATGCATAACAGAGGTATAGAGAATGTGCTCTCCTGAAGTTAACATTATAGTAGCAGACACACACAGCTCTCACTGGAGAGTGCTAGGTGCACAGAGCAATGGTATTGTCAATGTTGCTACTCACCATTTATAAAAGGGCTGACATTTCGTGTAGTTTACAGTCGCCCAAGTTTTTTTTTTTTTTATTTCTGAGGGCCATACTCTTCAGGATAAGATGGTTTATTACTATTACATTGTAAGGCCATTGTAATACAATGTTAGAAAAGTATCATTAAAGGATAAAAATGTGAGCATTTTCATGCTTTGTGTGGAATACAGTAATACATGAATGACAAAAGGTAGCTTGCCATTTACACGAATAGTGTGGACCCTCCACAACGTAGTCTGTTCAAATTGAGCATAATGTTATAAACAGCAGCACTTGACATTTGCACGCACTTGTTTAGACCTGTGCTTGCAACAAAGTCATGCACATTAAAAAGCATTGTGAGGTTCTGCATGATAACATGCATTCACTACAAGCAACCTCATCACATCATGCAAGGCTCTCTTGCTTGGTATCCTGTAATATTTCTCAAAACGGATGTGCTGATATTTGTGACCACCAGGGTGGGCTTTTGTTTGAACTGCGTTGCCTGTGAAAACGCTTTTGGTGCACTCCTTATGTAGAAGCCTTGCTTCTGTTAGAGCACTCGGTGCAGTAGGCTCATGCATTTTGTGAGATAGGAATGCTGAAAATTCAGCATTTAATTCTGCATTTCAATAATGTGTTTTAATAATTTCTTATAGGCTGTGTGTGCACAATTTATTTTAAATGTGATTCTGCCTTCACTCCACACATTCTCGCTACATCTTGTCCAGCTTAGTCTCCATATTCTTCCACAAGTCTCTTGGTTGCATGGTTCCTGTCCTCTGGTTATTAATTGGTTAAGGATCACATCTACTTGCTCATTTCGGCTCTCTTCACTGAACATCTCCGGTGCTTAGGCATCTGATGAGTGCAGTCACTATCCCTAGCTTAAATGTCATAACAATGCATGTGCATTTTCATAAGAAAGGAGGAAAAATGTATATGCTTTAATTCATAAGCTGCTCGAGAACTTTCTGGCATCTTGAACAATCGCTAAAGAGATAATTGCACGGCTTCACAAAATTACTTTTCTTACAGCAATGTTTCTTTTCTATATCTGTTAGTAGTTTTTATAGTATTCTCCCTATTCTTTTGATATCACTTGCCAGCATCTGCATACAATAGAATTTTGTACTGGCTCAAGAATTGTATAAAAAATTTATGCACACATTCCCAAATACCGTGGCACTCAATGCCAATGATTTTTGTATTGTGCCATAGACACATATGCACAAAAAAAATAGGTTTTAAAAGATTGTTTGCTCGTGTCTTTGAAGCAACATTGAGCAATGTTTGCTCGTGTCTTTGAAGCAACATTGAGCGGAGTTATTTAGAGACCACAACACATTCTTAGTTACTGATTAAAATTAGAAGCCGGGCTGTGTGAGCTATGAAGCAAAGAAAGTAAATGACCAAAGTGACTAACGGGTGAAGAGCACCCAGAAATATACATTCCAGGCTGTTAATGGGTCAGCCACATAGCAGAAGTGAAGTGAAAGTCTTGCCAGTTGTCACTGGAGAGAGCATAAACTTTGCCAGGAGTGAACTGCTGCTTCCTATTCATTTTTAAATAAATGAAGTGAGGAAAAAAACAGAAGTATTAAAATGAGCATTTAGCTTGCTTATCTGCTAATACGAAATGTCCAGGAAAATTTTTGTTGAAGATCGGCTAGAAATCTTGAAAGTTTGCGAGTCAGTGCTAAAGCCCAATTAACCGGCCCCTGTTCTGAAAAAAGCAGTTTGATAGAAAAAAACTGTTTAGGCTTATACTTCAGGCTTTGCACCTTGAATTACCAATTAAGCTTAATCAAATAGAATGTTGCATCTGTTGATTCGGTAACATGCAAAGTTAACAAAAGGAATTTATTGACCCAAATGCAATAACCAATGGCTTATCTGCATGAGCACTATGATCTCCAAAACTTTCTGATGATTTTATACATCACAGAGAAATATATTAGTGTTGTTTAACTCTTGAAGTGAACCAAATTAATGCCTCTGACAGAATTTTTGTTGTTTAGTCTCGGTGCCTGGTCCTCTCTACTTTTGAATTTGGACAAGTGAATGCACTCACTAAAGAGATATTGCCATTTGGGTAAAATTGGAAGCAGTTAGCATTAGCATTATTGCAGCCTGATGATGAAAAAACACACTACGTATATAGCAAATTATTGTGCAAGAGTAAAAGCATGTAAATCTTCTCCAGGCTATCATCAAAAGCAGAATTGTACAAGCATCTTAAAGTCTCTTTCATTCTTCATTTTTTTTATGCACCTCTTAGTACAGGCAGATCAACCTGCTATAGCATCAGTTATAATATCTGAATGCCTGCAGTAATTGAAGCAAATCATTTAGCACTCAAAGTGGTTTAATAATATAACTATATTGAAATAATTTCAAGGACTGCAAGTGATAATTTGTAACTAAGGAGGGCATTAACATGTAACTTTCACTTATATAAATTCATTCTAATATATTTCTACTCCTTGAGAAGGCAGCTGAAGCAACAGGAACGTGTCTGAAAAATTGTGTTGCTTATAAAATTTGCATCATTCTCCTAACAGGAATGGGGCTCGTGCAAGGTGCCGTAAGTTATTTTAGGAGGTAATCTACGATCTGCACCAATGTTTTAAGTGAAAAAGAAGGACCCTCCAACAAGAAATACTTCAGGCATTGCAGTTTTGAAGTCTCGCCTGTTTCAGGATCTCTGTGGCGCTTCATTCGAGCGAGCATGTCTCTGTCAGGCTACATGCCTCCCATGTGCGACCCTGTGGATGGACACTTGCTTCTGGACGGGGGATACGTCAACAATCTTCCAGGTGAGCCCTTCCATGGGCTATCCACCTGTCTTGCCTTGCTGGCTGTTTACTACTGTGCCTTGTAACTGCTCCCCGCACCCTTTACCTCGTCCTGCTCCTTTGCTTGTTCTTGCATGCAGTTGTTGCTGCTGGCCTAATTTTCCTTTCCATGCTCCATCTATACTATCATGTCCTCTGATCATCAATCATCCTCAAGTTGAACCCCTTAACCCCTTTTGAGTCTGTCTTTCCCGACTGTTTGTATATTTATCTCCCCTCTTGGAAATGTTACGTCTCTGGCTGTGACTCAACTTGGGTACGACCAGGAAGCTGCAGTTTATTCCCTAAATTGTGGGCCCCTACTAGGATTAAGTGCTTCAGCTTTGCACAGAACTATGATACCCTGTCGCATGACATGCAGGTAAGGTTCCATACACATGCAGGCAGTAAGGTTTATGGTGGCTAGTCTTGCACCGTGTGCGTCTTCCGAAAACTGTACCTGTCACTCTGTCACACATTGCATTAAGACTGCCATCAAAACTGGCAGTGGCCAGAATGCTATTACCTGCCCTAAGTAGACAGTCTTCTACAAGTTCTATGATGCAGCGAGCAATGGAAAGAAAAATGGTAGGTGTAACCTTAAGAGACAAGAAGGGAGCAGAGTGGATTAGGGAACAAACGGGGGTTAAGGATATCATAGCTGAAATCAAGAAGAGGAAATGGACATGGGCCGGGCATGTAGCGCGTAGACAGGATAACCGCTGGTAATTAAGGCTAACTAACTGGATTCCCAGAAAAGGCAAATGCACGAAGGGGAGACAGAAAGTTAGGTGGGCAGATAAGATTAGGAAGTCCGCGGGTATGAAATGGCAGCAGCAAGCACAGGACAGAGTTGACTGGCGGAACATGGGAGAGGCCTTTGTCCTGCAGTGGATGTAGTCAGGCTGATAATGATGATAAAATACTCAAGTGCCACAAAAATTTCAGTGTTATAGTCGGTAACTGCTATAAACGGGTTGCACAAAAACAAGCAATAAAGGGGGACAGAAGGCTGTTGTGGAAAACCTGTAATACAAGCTAGGATATGTCGACAGACATCACTGATAAGGATAACAAACCTGGCAATTATTCAGATGTGCTTGAAATTCACCCTTTCATGGGAGCATCACAAGCCCCATAGAAAACGTCAGAAGATTCGGGCACTGAAACTTTTTGAAGTCATAACTTTGTAACTGCTCCAGCACAGTCGCAGGCTTCAAAAGTTAGCCTTGCCACACACCCTGAATTAAGTGGGGCATTAGGAAATGTTGAGGTTGCGAGCGGAGGTACAGCAGCTTGAATTCCTCATCTTCTTCTTTACTTTTAAAGATTTTACATTTCATTACCTTTCAGCACAGACACCCAATAGCCAGAAATCATTGTTATAACCGATAATGGGGCATGCAGTAATTGTTATAAGTGGGTTTTTTCACTATAGAAAACATACTAAAGTTGACAGTGCAGCTGCTTTTCATTCTTATTACCAATGTATTGTTGAAACTGGTATCTTTGTAAGTAGGTTGGATGGTATCTTAATTGAGTTCTTCAAAGAAGTTGTTGTAAAGAAATTGAGTGATGATGTCTACAATGTTTTAACCCTTCATTGAAAGTAGGTATTGTAAATCCATAAACTGGATGTGCTGGAGCATTTAAAGAGACCCTGCAACACAGTTATGAATTTCAATGGAATAGTCTCACTATTAGCGCATGATGCTTCACGAATCACAGGCTGCAAAAATTTTAAGAAAAGAATTTCAGGGATTTGTCGTTTGCTTGTAGTGTTTTCTCGCTCCCCTCGCACCAGTGAGTGCACTGAAGGCTAAAAAGAAAAGAAGATGAGGCTCTTCATCAGCGTGCATCATGATCTGAGCAATTCCTTTTTTTTTTCTTCAAACCCACAGCTTATTTTGTGATCGCAGGTGCAAGCACATGGGCACATGGCGGCATTGTACGATTACCATGGTAACGATGCAGCTCACAATGCTTAAATTAGCAAACAGTGGTGACTTTTAGTGTAGGCTCAGTAATTTTGGTATATGGCGTCACCCATAGAGAGAAAAGGGAGGGATATTAAGCTGACTGAGAATTAATTCTAAATTACAGGTCGCATGCAGCCCTGTAATGTTTGGCTCACATGTTCTGGGGAGCTTCGACTACTGATTGGCAGCGTTTTATGACTATGCTTGAAAAGCCTTGCAGGGCTTCTTTAAAGTGAAGAAATGTAACTTACAAATGTGCACATTATCCAAAAGTTTTTGATGGTTTTTGAGAGTTTTCAGGGTGATTGTATATTTCAGAGCAGCCTATAATACATCAATTTGACCTCATTAGGTCTGTTATTTGTGCAGCTTGTGGCATTGTAATACTGTTCTTTATTGCCACATTACAAGGGTAAACATAATATGCTTGAGTTCTGCAATTGTGAACAAGCTAGATAATATGAATGAGAGAGTGTCTTCTAAAGTTGACCAATTTAAACTTTTTTAGTGCAACAAGCCTAATGAAATTTGGCACTGTGGCTAAATAATGACAAAATAATTCATTATCATATTTTAGATTCGAATGATAGAACTAAAGTTTCCTCTTGAGAGCTGGCCTATTCTTGAGTGCATCTTGCTGGCACATTTTTGTGTTCATATTGGTGTCTTCTATACCATCCAGAAACAGGATCTTTTTTTTTTCTGGATGTACAAGAGAAAATATCTCTACTGATGTTTTCTCATCCTGGCTCTGTAACATTTGCCATCTACTATAAAAATTTTTGCATATATTGTGTGATTAAGTAGGCCTGTTTAATTATACCGTGTAGCTGCATATATGGTACAGCTGTCTACCTGAAGGGCTTCATACTTTAGACTGATATGTTCTGTGATAGTGATATAAAAGCATTATTGGTGCAGACCTATTTGTGGACAGTTTCATATGATTCCTTGCTTAGAAAGTGCAGCTTGTTAGTGTGTGAATAGTAATTTTAACACCAAATTTAGCACTAGTTATAGAGTGTAATGTTACAAATTTATGCAGTCAATACTGAGGAATGTAGCTGTTAATCACTACAGGGTTTTTCATTTTGCATGCAGTACTAAAGTTTCTTGCATTTGATCTCCTATGTAATGTAACTGCTGTGGTTACAAACCAAACTTGCAACCCTATAGTTAACAGCCGAATCATATCGGCACTGAGCCACAACAGTGTTTTCTGAATTGAATGTGGATCATGTAGCTATGCTACAATTTCAAATGTAGTTATGTCTAATAGTTTGCTCATTCTTTCTAACAGATTGTTGGTACATCATCATGACTCAAAGCTTGTTATTTTTTCTTTGTCTCAAATCAAATACTGTTTAGCAGCATCCCATTTCTCAGTCAAACATATTGGTCTCTCACCTGGGACAAAATAGGTTAGGTATTATCTTCAGAATAAGTAGTGGTGCTTGTCATTAAATGATGCTTGATGCATAGATAACTACAAAGTGGTAGAAAATATAGAATATTGAGTGATCTTCAAAGCAAAATGCTGATTGGTTTTGTCAATATAGTACATTGATATTCTACATTGAGCAAGGTTATGTTATGTATAAGATAAAAATTTTTAGAATGCACAGTAAGAACGCTCTTTTTTTTTTTCTGTGAATCGTTCAAACACAGATAACACATGTTATTCGCAAATGTTGCCACAGCACACCACATTTAGACTAAATACATAAAAATAATTGATGCTATCAAAGTGTACATTGAGATGTGTTCACATGGGAAAACAAGTTTCTTAACATTGTCAGGCAGAATCTGCAGTCGCTGTAGTTAAGAATGCCAAGAACGGGGCTTCATTATTGAGAAAACTGTATGTATGTACTTACAATAATTGTCACAAGAAAAATCTCACACTTTTTTTCTTGTGATGTCTGTCACCATATTTAGAAAAAAATAAATGATTTGCTAGCTTCCAGAATATGCGTGACATGTTCGAAAGTTTCTGTATGGCACACAGGGGTGTGACATCTGTGCCAAGTTGAGCTAAAATCATCACCTTTGTTGAAATTGCGCCATGCTGTGACAAAATAGCCAAGCAGCCTCAAAACTGTCTCAGTACTGCTCTGTTAGTTTTAGGAAGAAATGGAGAATGCATCTCTGTTAGTTTTAGCAAGAAATGAAGAATGCATTAATCACTTGCAGTTTGCACATCATCCACTCTAATCCAGATGCACAGACCATAGCGCTGACTACTAGTTCACTATACTGTAACCTCGCCATGAAAGAAAAAGGAAGGAGAGAAGTTGTAAAATTTCCTTTTTTTTTTTAAGTCACTTTAGCTGCAGTACAGTGTGCTATGCAGAAAAGCATGCCATGATTTAAAAGTGGTTTCTAGTACTGGCTGTCATGGGACACAGCACATTTTGTACCTTAATTACTCATATGTGAACTCGCCATATATTAGTACTAGTATGATTGCTAATGTCTAAAAATTACTGGCAATTATAGAAGGACATATGATGGTTCTACAGCCTTGAGAAACAATAAACAAAAACACGTTAGTTTTTTTTTTACCACCCCCTTTTGCTCCTGCTTTACAAATCTAGAATTTCGAGGTCACCAGATTGGCTGATTCACAATAGCATATGGTACACCTGTCAAATGATTTGACATGCTCTCCAAATACTAATGTGGACTTTGACATTGTTAGTACTGTGGAGTCGTAGCTGATGTTAGCACCGTGAAGTGAGTAGCGGAGTGGTAGCAGAGAAGGTAGCTGATGTTGAATACTTTTTGTATATATATATATTTTTTTTAATGTACATCCTATTTGTTGTACTGTTAGAAATTTGGTATTTTGGGCTAAAAAATGAAGCATTTTTCTTCCCCGTAACTTGCTCAAAACTAAGAATTTTATGCTCGGAAAGCAACATTGCTTTTCAAAAATTGCTCTTAATCTTAATTTGGCTGTTGCACCTGTGTATGCAATGGCAAGCTTTTTGTACTCGAATG